GTAGCCAGAGCTTCAAAGTTGTTGCTTTTTTTTGAATTTGGGGGCTGCAGCTAATTTCCGGCTAAAATACGTCTATCTAGTAGTTTTCACCTCCCCCGGACATTATCAGCTATGACAGCCCTTGCAACCTACATCGTAATCTCCTGGTTCTCACTTGATCCAAAACTGAGAAAACTAACATGAAATATTTTAAAAAATCAATAATTTAGTGTAATTTAACATGCCATTTTCAATCTATTTAAAATATAGACACTTTTTGGACAAAACATTTTTATAATGTGATRATTGCACAGATTTATCATGAAAGAAAATAAAAAATAGAAAACGTTTAGTGCCTTTTGCATGAACAATAGTCAATTATCCTAATTTAAGAGTGAAGGCAAAATAAGTAATATTCAAAATTTGCACACATTTTATACTGCTTTGCTTTTGTGATTGAGTGGAAGAGAGGGGACAAGCAATTATTATTATTATTATTTTGCAGAAAAGCCAACTTTAATGAATTTTGCATTTTTTTGTATCTCGTCATCTGTTTTAAGCTATTTTTTTGACAAAAGCTGAAGTATGACAAGCTTTAGTATGCAACTGGACTGCCAATCATTTTAAATAATTAGGCCCTGAATTTAGGATAAAATGCCACTTTCATTGGGCAATCAGAATCAAGTAATTTTCCCCTGTATATGATACAGGTAAGCAAAGTAAGCATGCTGTTCAGCAGTGAAGTGGAAAGTTGTGTTCCTCTTAAAGTGGCATAGTAGAGTCTATAGTCCACAATATAAAATAACATACACTGACATAGGTAAATTGCTATTTGAAATACCTTTCATCCATGTTAAAGCCTTTAAAACTCTCTCCTTTTAACAATGTTTTGTAAGTCTTTCTAAAATCTTGCTGAAAGAAAAGAAAATTACGAATTAATAATTAATATGGAATGATATGTCTAGTGTTTTCGACCATTGTCACACTGGGCTCACCCGCATGAAACTCAAGACTCAAATTCTGTTTGACAAAACTTTATCGTATGATGTTTTTTCTTGTTTAGCTATTATACCCTTTACGATTGGCGATCTTTTTCATCGCTATTGGATTGGATCACCAACTCAACTGACCAAAGCACATGGCGTCTGCTTACATTGTCACACTTTGAGTTCACCCGCATGAAATTCAAGATAGATCCAAATTCTGCTTAAAGATACTCCATTTTCTGTTTAGTTTTTAGATTC